AGCTATAATAACATACCACCTTGACCATGCAAGCCTTTTTGCACGTTCCAGGAATCGAACCTGGCCCTTATTAAAGCCTCCAAATGATTCGATGATTGATTCCTGTCTGTTCGATGTGTGCAAATATTTATAATTTCCTCTCTATATCGATTTTTTAAATACACAACGATTAGATAGGTACATTAAGACATAAGACATTAATTTTCGTTTAGATATCTGAGCTTAAATATTAATCTTACTTATATTTAATATGAATATTATAAATGCGAAAGTTAGGATGTTTGAATGTTTGGATGTTTGTTACTCGGTCACGCCAAAACTACTGAACGGATCTGGATGAAATTTGGTACAGGCATAGGATACACTTCGGAATAGGACATAGACTGCTTTTACCAACATGCCACTTTCATAAAGGTATGCTGCTATAGTATCCATATAAAACGAAGAATGTCGAGGAGGTACATAAAGATAGCACCGCGTCACAGCAGAATGTATCGACAACATCCTCGTGAAACACTCACGAATAAAAATAACACAAGAATCTAGAAAATCTCACTAAACGATGGATCTATAACGTAATGATGATTATCTATAATATCACATTACTCAATAACAAATCTTGTTAAACCAAGCTGGTAGTGTCCACCGCTTTCTAACATCGTCGACTTTTTCATTGGCATGCGAGCTATGCTTGTAGCTCCGTGTTCGGCACGCCGCGGTGAGCTATCCATTACGACATTAATATCAGGATATTTGTCATTAATTTAATACTGGATGCCTGCTTATCTATTAATTAGATAACTCAGGAACACATAGCTAACATAGCAATCTATTTCTCCATATAACAACTTCCCTTGTACGAGTATAGTGGTACGCGCCATCTTGTACGCGTAGTTCGTTGCTTCAACTGTCTTCCACGTTCAGTAATCTTCCACGTTACACATTGTATATATAGTAAAATATCTTTATGTCCATAGTTATGATTGTCGTTACTAGTTACCGCTGCTAAATAAAATCTATTGAGATAACTGGTTTTATCTCAATACAATGAAATACATGTTATATCTCAATTGGCAAGAGTCCGGTGTAGCTTGCGCTTATACAAACACAGTAACCATACTACAGAATCAGGCAATTAAAACGAGTGTAAACTGATGTAGAAACGTGCGCACGCGCACCCCTCACACAAACAATAATATAAACATAGCAGCTTCTAGTGTGGGTGTCGACAAACAAATTGACTTCTTTTTAATATAGTAGTTTTTGGACAGACATATAGATACAAAAAATAATGTAGGTATGTATTGACATTACAAATATGTGAGATCTGATAGTAAATGCAAGTCGTTGTCTGGCAACGTCACGACATGTAACTATTACTACATTATTAACAGCTTCTACCCGGGTGCAGCGAGCGGGCCGAGCGGTGAGTACTTTGACGTTACAATATCAAAAGTTTAAGTTGTACTGACGACTACTGATGACTTGAATCCCATCAACAAATCGGACTGGTTTCCTTTATCAGTACGTGTCCGTCCAGTCGATGAACTGGTTGGTGGCACGCAGTCGTGCAGGCACCGTGCACGGTGCAGTGTGCACAGTGTCTGTGCACGCGGCACAGACAGGGAGCGATATTTTTTGCTCATTACGAGTAGACCGGTCGCGCGGCCTGTGACGCGTCTGTGAGCGCATGCCTTTATCTGCTGCACAACATCGACACAGATACAAAGTGCCAAGCCCATGCACGCAACAACTGTTTTTTTACAAATTATATGTTTCTTCCACGTAAACAAAACACGTACATGACCATGTCAAGTTGAAATACAACGCGCGTAGTAATAAAAACTAGAAAACTTATTCGACATAATTATCGTGTAAAGGGCAGCCGCCGTCGAACACGACGCAACAATTAAAGTGAGTGAATGCTCCAGCACTCTCACTGCGTCAGCGGGGCCTGATTACAGAGTGCCCACCTCACGAGTCACGCGGTCAGTGTGTGGGGGGGCAAAAGGTCACAGATACAGCGCGGCTATAATTTTGCCAGTTTTTCTAAAGGGCTCGAGGCTCGACGGATCAATTATTCGTCTGTCCGCCGTAACGGTTGTGGTGCTCGTCAATTAGCTCACAGGCACAGGTTCAAGTAACGGTGGTGCAGTGAAAGCGGCGCGGGCGGCGGGCGGCGTGTTCGTGGGCCATGCAGAGAATGACTGCACTATAATAGATGACTATTTGATCGAGGACTTCATCTTAATCACAACAGAATGTTTGTAGCCCGCCCTGGAGTGCGTTGACTTGTTGTATGCACATGCTGTAGTACCTCAATGTCGCGGCCGCTCCAGTTCCCAGCGCGCCGTGCCTCGTCCGACCACAAGCCGACCACAGCCAGTGTGCAGTGCCCGTATCTCCGAGCTGCCTCCGCTACTGGCTGCTATCTCCACTTATGTATCACCGTAACTTAGCTGGTTACTTTCACTACTACCTCCTGCAGTAAGGAATCTATCGAAACTATCTACTGAAGCTTACATGTTGTTACTATCATATCGTTTAGTTCTCATTTCCCAAAGCAAGACACAGTGGGACGTCAATCGTACTCAGTATCTCAGTACCGTCCCCCGTGCTAAGTATGTATCAGTGAGCGCATCGTTTGTCTGTCTGAGTATGTATGCTGCATGTTCTTTCGTTAGTTATGTCTGCTGCGGGTCACAAAAACCCCGCAGCGATTAGTTTCACATCCAGAGCCCGCGGATCGCTCGCAACTCGTGTGATAGCAAGGTACACAAAAATACACTTTGCATCGAGCTGTTAGGGTCGGTGTGGCCGGCAGATGTCGTTTGTGACTTAGAATGCAGTAGCAATGTCGCCGAGCGTCCTGCTCGGTCGCTAATTGCGGCGACGTGATGGGCCGGCTCGGGCCGACATGACGCGGGGACCGCGCGCCGGTTACTTCAAATCATTTCGTACCGACAGCGACTCACTCAATCCATACAAATTAATTGGCAGTCAGTAGAAAAACTCCTGAGCGACTGCTTTTATTGGATATTTTGTTAACGGTTTTGATATTTTACAAGTCTTATTCAACGTTGTTAACACATGCAGTACAGCAATAGTCACATTCGCATTACCTATAAACAGTAGGTGCTAGCAGTGGGTGGTGACTACACGTGCGTACATTCCTCGAGCACTATGGGAACACCTGTACGTGACGAGCGTTGTAATAGAGACACGATACTTTACCAGTAGACACAAATGATTTAGTAGTCGACAGGTACACAGGATACAAGTAATTTAATATTTTTAACGAATTTTACTATTCACACAACATAGCAACGTGGTGATTCGGATCTTGTCTCTGGATGCGACACGTTGGTATGCTGAAAAATCTAGTTGCGTGACTAATACAGTTTGTAGTACCTGTGGACTGTCTCGCGGCACATACAAACGAGCCAAGATGACATCTACAAGGAGGGACGCTGACGTGTCATGAGGCGGCTGTGACACGAGCAGTCGGGCCGTGGTCGCTGGTCAACGACTGTTGCCACAAGGTCACGACCGTCATTGTACAGGCCTATACGACCATATTAATAAGATTTTAAAGTGACGTCATTGACATTTACTGCTGTTTTATGAGTACGCAACCTGCATCGGCCATTCAACTGGTCATTTTATAATGTGTCCACCCATAACTTATATCCACCATGCATACGCATGTCGTAACCTGAATGAAATTAATTAAGTTTAAGTTAAGCACGATGGGGAATAATTATTTATTATTAGTACAAGTATAAGCTGTAGGTACCCTGGAATCTTAATAAGGGATTCAATAAAAAATAATCAGTAGTAATCACAGACACATGTTAAATCTGTCAAGTGACCAACTTAAGGACACCGAAACACAAAGAGAGCACAAATGATTTCATTACTGAATAGCGAGGTATAGAGCGAGGGATATATTGTCAGTGGTACTGTAGTGTTCCAGCCAGCAGTGTGGGAGACAAGACTCGCGTTGTTCGTCTACGCTGACGCGTTGCAGGTCACCGAACAAAACGCAGCACTTTTCTTAGAAGCAAGTCTTAGAGTAGCACGCAGGCGATGCTACCATTAGCGTATTGCACATTGTACACCTGCGTCAGTGGCTGCACCTCGCGACACCACTCCACTTATTACTGCAGTCGCGTCGCCGTCTTCAAAACAAGGACATTTCTTAGTCCTACGAAATTTTGCTGTTCTATCTTTGGAACCAACATAACAACTATTAACAAAGTGTCTTCTTAGCCATTAGTGTTTTAATTTTAATCTGTTTGATCTGTCACCATCGTTATGCGTATCTCACATTCAATCACAAACATTTTGCCATTATTAAACTGATGAGTTTCGTTACAACGCATAGCTACTCAATAATCTCACGGACTTTGACCGTTGTAAGTTTTTTGTGATCACAAATAATAATTTTCCATTGGTCAAATACTAATTGTAATCACAAATCTGTATAACAATACCGCGGTGTGGAGTCCCACAAGTGACTCGCCACTGGTGTTAATCAAAGTAGGTTCGTTTCCCGGCCCCAGCAGGCGTCACGGTGTGATGTGCACTCCCGGGAACAATAGCAATCGGTAATAGTTCTCCCACAGACGGTATAATTATTACCACGATTACGAAGGCGAGTATTACTGCCAGTGACTCACTCCCCGGCCCCGAGTGCCGACACTCTGGTAATCAACTCACTCATTGTCAGTATTATTTGAATAACTTCGACTACGTTAACGAATCAAAATGTAATTACAATGACAAGCGAAACGTATAAACCCACTAATATTGCTAAGCTTAAAAATATTGTATCTACATGTAAGTTTGTATCTACAGGAAATCGTGGCCCTGTTTTTGTGCGGTTCTCAGAAAGAATGAAGCAATAAATAGAAATGCCAAAGTTCAAGTTTCTCATTTGTAGAACAAAACGACCTAGTACCTACGTTATAATTCGGTAGAGCACCACAGCCCAGGTACTAAGCCGGTAAGTGGCCGGGTAGCTGTTCAGACCGCAGCCGCGGACGCATGGACCGTGAAATAATGGAATAGCGTCCATCCGTGGGAACTGGTGGCAGTCCACGGCGCGCCAGGCCACGAGGCTGCGACCCGTGCCCCGTGAATGATCCGATCATATCGCACACTTTTTGTTCACTGTTTACTCAAGAAACATAAATGTTCTATTTTAAACTTAAAAGTAAAACAGTAACTAACGAGCAAAACAAACAAAAAAAAAACAAAAACATATGCAAAAATGACACAAATAATTTTAAAACATTGTAAGTAAATCCAACAAAAAGTTTGACCCCGACGTGATTTGAACACGCAACCTTCTGATCTGGAGTCAGACGCGCTACCGTTGCGCCACGGAGTCGATGAGCAACAAGCTGAAATAACGCTTCCATATCTCAAAGTACTATTGACGTCAATTGTGACGCACTGATTCCTATGAATGGAATCCCAAACTTGAATGCAGGAGCGTTGCCCCGCCCGCGCCCCGCACCCCGCACACCTGACGCGCCATTTTCGCAATATTACACAACTCGTACATTACTTCAAACTCAATAGCCGTTAATCTCGTTTAACTTTATTTATATTATTTTGCTGGTTATGTGGGTTCTAATAGGTTTGCGCATTCGTTCAGATAACGTCAATGAAGAATATAGATATTGTTATGTTATGCGAACAATTCTCTACACTACTGATTTTCTTGTTTTGTTTGTGGTTTTGTTTTATGTCTACATAAATAAAAATAATTCTCTGATTAAGAAACATTAATATTTAATTAGCGATCGTAAAATTACGTTAGTGCACATACCTACAGCGTGTGTGGTCCAACCAAACTCTTAAACGTTTATGTAGATATAATGTTGCACTCGGGGAAATAAACAGCTTTACGGGCAGACAGTAAATACGTGTAGGTACATATATATTTATAATATATTACAAACAACTATTACAATTTCCCACTAACTCTCAAACTGAAACTAAGGCGGAAGAGTTGTGTACGTTTTGTTGTGTTACTCTTTCAAACTTAGCAGGGATTGAAACTATTTGGGTCTTTCTAGAATAGTAAATATTAAGTTCTTTATAAGTATTTCTGTTTATCATTAAGTGGTTCAAGTCCCGTTGGATGAAAGAATGAGAATTAAATCAAACCAGTAAACATACACGACTTCCTACTCTTAACTATATCTCTCTTCAGGTTTACAACGCGGTCCCTGCCTGCAAGCAGTGCCAGCCCTCCGCCCTCGGTCGGTGGGTCAGCCCTCACTTTACACTGCCTTAAAAACTTTCCCTTTTCGAAAAAACCCTAATCCTTGTTTAAAAGTAAAGTCATTAATCTTCACGACACTGATCCGAGGGAGCTGGCAGGCAGAATGTGAGGACTGAGGAGTCAGCTGAGTTTTACATAAAAATAAAATCGACAACTATTTGGTACGTCAGTCAGTCAGTCAGTACTGTTTCTCGATTTTTATCTCTACTTTTATAACATTTTCTATTTTAAGAACCTTTTTAATGTGTGCGTGTATGTACAATGTCTATGTAATAAGCTTTATCGGAATCGCGGTTTACCCGTTTACGTGCGAAATTGGAATTCATTCTTACCTATCTATTCTCTCGTATAGATTAGTATTCGACAGAAAAGCAGGCAGAGTCAATTTTATCATTTGTATATTTAAAAAACCGTCGATAACACCCGAATACAAATTTATGGCACATGAATGCTCAGTGAGAATCAATTAGCATAGATAAGTACAATTAAACTATGCCTACCCATTAGAGGAAAGTTGTTGGCCGTCACTAACGGCTTATCTAATCTGCTCGCTAATTGCCGAACTCTGCGAATCGTCGCTATAAACTTGTTCACACTCATCGGTACCTGTCGAGCTGTTCACTACTCACACCTGTCAATAATGTCGTGTTATATTTGGTTTCAAGCAGTAATCTATGAGGAGTGTCAGCTCGTATGTGTAATAATAGAAAGTTATCAACACTTGACAGAAGTTTTACAGAGTCTTCAAGTGTCAATCCATCAGTACATATACGCAGTGCGTGGCAGGGGCAGCCCATTCGTACTGCAGAAGGTTAAAGCAATATAATATTGTAGATACACATGTGAGACATAACCCGATTCCTTTTGCTGATAGTTGGCACTTGACAATAGGAGCAAGGAGTCAGTCAGCCAAGGCTAAGAGATATTTAACAAAACCTATGTAGATTTATTGATTCTAATCATTACAAATTAATTAGATAAAACTGATGTTCTTTTATACCTTACTACCAAACTCAAACTTCCACAAAATTAAATGATGCATGTAACCACAGGTTTTCATTATAAGAGAGTGGCTTTACACAAAACGTATTTTCATTTAAATGTCCAATAAAATAAGATCACAAACGCTGCTCATTTTTATGATCTCCTTATCGCGCTATAAATCGTGTGGGGTAGAGTTACCGTGGGCCTCGCAGTGAGGAGGGCTGCTTGCAGGCAGCATCCCGGGCCTGGCCGCTGTCGGCGGGCTTAACACACCCTCGCGTAAAGTGGGTTTAAAGCCGCCACTGATCTTTACAGCAGGGATGCCGCAAGGAGATATACTAGGGCCATCTCTGAGTTTCTACTAATAATATTCATATTATTTGCAGAATGATTTCTATTTCTACTATTGTTTTATCATTAAGTATGATTTCAAGTGTTATAATATTTTGCCACAACTATTTTACTTACACGGACAAGTATAACTACAAAAATGTATTTCCCGTGATATTTCTGGTTTTATTATGAATTGCAATCGCATTTGTTATATATTTTATTTATAAGCTATATCAAGCAGAGCATGCAGGTGCCTACGCCCTGCAGGACCTGTCGTTGCTACAGTCGCGTTGGTGTGAAGATGGCGCTGTGTGGCACAACGTGCTGGTAACGACGTTACAACTCCCATTACCTATATTTTATTCGCCATTTTCATAACATAAGGGCCGGCCAACAACAAGGTGCGTCGCTAATAAAATGTTATTTGTGAACAATTTTTGTTGTACTTGTTCAAGTGTAACTGACATCACGTATGAAATATTAACTTTCAGATATCGGTTGTGGGACAAATTAGAAATGCATATGAACTCCCTGATGCCTCGATGTCTCGCACGTATCGAATTATAGTAATTCGTTCATCATACATCACTGTACAGACATCGATTACTCTTAATAGCGTTGTTTCACGTGCACAAATGTTGCAAAGATTAATCGCACCGATTAGTCGTGCAATTATCTTAGAGAACTACTACCTCATAAACCCTTCATTTAATGTAATAACATACTACATTTTAGCAGATCGATTTGTGTTGTGTAGCTCCTGTATTATCTGTGTAGCTAACGTGTAGTGCGTGTGTGCTACTGTAGTGTTATTTGCCTGCAGCATTGTTAAGTACTAAATCAGTATTCATAGCAGTACGATATTACTCACGTTTCTATTCTATTTTCTTATTATTACTGAAATCCATTAAGCAGGAAGTTGGCTCAGAGTAAATCATTTATAAATATCACGATATGTGAAATTAATGTTTTCATTTCCGCAACATGGTCCTCCGCGCGTACCCTCTCGCCTGTAGCCCGCAGCCAGTACCCTCCGTAACCACGCGAAGCTGCTCCAATTAATACTTAACTCCATACTGCGTGCTCGGGAGCTGCTCGCGTGTTAGCTCGCCACAAATCGTCGGTGACACGACAAAATCTACCACGCCTTGCCTTATATCTGATGACGGAGATCTGATAAATCTTCGCTTTTCCGGCACTAAGGGTCTATTACTGTATGAAATACGCGGATCGCGCTGTGATGGCTTCGAACTTGGGACATCAACAACTCTATAGTAAGCACAAAACTACTGATTGAATAATTTCGGTTTAAAACGAAGACTTCCGCAGTACTTCATTAAATATTAGATCATACAATTACCGAACAACACACTCATGGTGTGGGACAAAGACAAAAATGATTAATTTCATAACAAATGTGGCTATTTCGTAACACTATACATGTTTACGTTACTTCGGATTCAACAAGTATCATAATTAGAGTCATATAAAGTTAGTCTCCTGTGAACATGTGTTGGCCGGACCCGCGGCGCACCGGCGGCGGCGGAAGGCCGCAGTTAAGACTATTTTAGTGGCAGTGCAGCACTCGCCGGAAATCTCATTACGTCGTATTCTTCAATACACCACGTCCTCGACTACAGCACACACTCGCCACTCGCCGCTCACAGGAGCTGACATTGTATGTACTACATACCGAACTATTCACGTCATTCGTAGAAGACATTGATGTTTGGAGGGAAGAATAATATGGCTGTCAGGTGTTGTCACCCTTTTAATGATTTTAATCTCAGAGCAGTTTCATCTTTAGATGCAATTCATGTATTTTATCTGTGTGGAATGGTACATGGTACATGGTAGTTGGTGGTAAATATCTATGTCTGCCAGTAGTTCGGCTGTGTCGCCGTCTCCAGCTACCAGCACTCAAGTACAAGGTAAAGCGAATTAAAATAATATTAATATCCATAGAATGTGAGCAGTTACTAGGCCCACGCTCTCTGTCCAATAGACTCTGCCTGTACTCCTATTATCTGGACACGTGGACAGCGCCAGTGTCGGACAATGCCGGGCAGTGGCGCACGCGGGCCCGCGCCGCGCGCCCTCCGGACGTAACGCGCGGTTTGTGACAACTGTGGCATATTGTGACACGTGATAAATACTCTGATAATTTATTTGTACACGATAATGTCCTCCGGCGACAACTGCTCATTCTGCCCAATGCCCAGCTAATCCTGTGTAAGCTGACGCGTCGGGTTGTTCTCAAGACATTTGCATTTTCTAATTCAGGTTATTTTTGACTCGGCTTCATTTTAAACTAGAAGTAGATATAGATCCACGTCACTGCAGGCTGTAACGGTATTGTTTACGAAATGAGCGGAGATTTGTGTGGTTCTACATATAGTTGGTTATCTCTGGTGTTGTTTACGAAATTATAAATATTGACTATATTAAGTTAGGTACTTTATTTAATCACCAAAATTGCGTTCTATAAATAACGTAAACAATATATCCTGAATCAAAGAAGTAGATAAGTGAAAAGTTGCAACTACTATCTAAATTCGAAGCGGTACTTAATTTGGAGAGCACTAATATTTAAAACAGTAACAACACAGTCAACCCCAGCACGTAAAATATGAAACACTAGCCTAAGAACAAAATGCATTCAGCCACCTCAGTGGACGGGCGCGATATCAAAGAATAAAACTGTCAAAACCCATTTATATGAATAATGCCTGCTAACAGGGCAGTTTCTGAATCACATGTCCTTGCGAACTCAACCATTGTCACTTCAGAATAAAGTTTATTCTCCGTCGAGGTGTGTCCATAAAAGTAAGTTAACTGGATTTTTATGGAGCGTATGGTAAGTGGCACTTTATGTCGGTTTAGGAGGGAAGTGTGAGGGAAAGCTTTACGGCGGAGATTTAAACTGTACGGCCCGGGGCGGGGAGGCTGCAGTCGCGCCCGGTACTGATCAAATATTACCGACTTCAACTCCATTTTCACTGGAGGATACTCACTGGATTTACTTTCTCAAAAATTAAGAAACTTACTCGTATAAAATACACACTAAAACAATTAATAAAAATGAGTGAGATTTCGCGTGTCGTATGGAAACAAGTTTGACTGGTCAAAACCAAGATGTAACCGACGAATACAATCTAATTGTAACCCTAAACAAACACGATTCCGTTTCGTAGCACTATAGGCATATGTAGCTATACACTGTAGGTGACTGAGCTTAGTGCCCATAAAAGCGAACTTATTTCCTGGCGCTAATAACCCGACAACAGATACAGATTTCACGATGCCTTCACTATAATTACCGTAAGTGCTAAACGGCTATATATTAAAGAACAATTAGTTTCAACCCGCACTACATGCTAGCACCTAACTATTTGCTGATGTAAAGTGGAATGAATAGTTGACGATGAGAAGTTCCTGTTTACAATAACTTCCAAACGTAGAGCTGACATCTAAAGCCAAATTTATATTTATTTCCAAAGGTTGCCTGTCCTCCCAGTGCCCTCTCTAATACACTGTAGCCATCCGCCGCCACGTTCGGCAAACATGTGATGAAGAATGGAGTGTTGGCTGTCAGTCGAACTGTCCATTCAATCAGTATCGATTGTCGGCGCTCTCAGACTCTCTGACAGCCGGCTCGGCCTAATAGGGTCACCACACTGCTTAAAGAGAGACAGGCGTGTCCAGGATCATATTCCTGTGAGTAGTCAATTAAATGCCACCAGTCGCTGACGGGGATGTCGCCACTACATGTTATTCGATATCGATGGTGTTCTGTCATACAGCTTCTGTTCATGGAAGATGATCCTTCCCTTGATTTATTTTATAAATAAATACTCTATTTCTACTAATAGTTAACCTAACCACAGCCTCAGGACAGTGACCAACTGCTCAGGTTGCGTGCGCACTCCGTCACGGAGCCGGCGAGCAATCAGCTCGCTGCTCGCTGCGGTTACATTTTCAATTGACACTCGACTAGGAAACGGATATTGTAAGTGACAGCCGAACAGATACGCCGCGTGCTTTATTTGCTTTTAATTTAGAAAGTGCGCTATGTGGGAAGATGGCGCGCTCGCCGCGGTGTCGGCCACGGCTTTGGTTGTACTTCTTTTTGAAATACCTCGGAGTCATGCGTTTCTTGTATACTGTCAGTGAAGTATTATTATGTTTATTGAAAATAACGGCTAACTCACGTGAATTAACTTAAAAAAGCTCTTCGTGAGACATAGTACATTAATTTTTACTTTTAATATATATTATAATATATAATGTCTCACGATAGGTACTATTAAAAAATGGAGTAGCTTAATGAAAGACTTTTTTTCTTTTTATATATGTATATAAAAATGAATTGCTGTTCGTTAGTCTCGCTAAAACTCGAAAAAGGCTGGAGCAACATGGCTAAATGTGGTCTTGAAATATTCTTGGATAGGTATACGGGGCAGGTTTAAAGCGCATTGTTGGTCTGATGGTGTGCTTGGTCGGAGCAAGCATAGTTTACGGTCCGGCGTTAGGCTAAAGGCTTGCATTTTTTGCCTGGTTCATTGGCTATGGGCTGACAAACTCTTCAACTTGAGAACTGAAGGGTGTTCATATAAACAGAAGCAGCACAGGTCGAAATCTTAGTAGTTTGTATAATGTTAGGCTAGGTGGCCTCAATGGCACCACCTCAAGCTGAGCTGCGGTCAGGGCCCGCCGTGCGGTCTGCGGGCGGCGCCGGGCGGCCGACCGATGTTTATGTTCCCCACTTTCAACTACATACAATGACACATTTCGGTTGGCTTACGTATTGTACGAAAACTATATCTTTATATATAAAAATGGATCGCAAAATGTGTTGGTAATCGCATAACTCAACAACGCCTGGACCAATTTTGCTAATTCTTTTTTTGTTGTGTTTGTTATTGTCAGGAGAAGGTTCTTATCAAAGAAAATATAAGAAAAGTAGAGGGGAAGATTATGAAAAAGTGACCCTTTGATAGAGAAATAGTTGGACCCGTGCGAAGCCGGGGCGAGCTGCTAGTACTATATAGACACGAAACGTCACTGAGTATTCAGAGTAAGAGTTTAATGAAAGTTTTGAATTGTTCAATCGACATGCTATCGATATCTTATACCTGGGCTCTTGTAATGTTATAATCTTGCATTATAATAATTCTCTCAGAATTTCGAACCTTTAATTCGATACACCGTTACCCACGCTCAATACTGCAAACCAAAATGTTAACTAACCGACTGACCCACCGCTCTAACCGTGACCTTATTATTGTACCTAACATCTTATGTCGATTTAACTTATTTCTCTAATTTGACCATCAATTCACCTTCGACATACCAACAATTTGCAATTAAGTACTTATTTATTAAATTAAAATGAATGAATAATCGTTAACCTTTACGGTTTATAAAATTAACGAATTAGTATATTTGCAACGCCTTGTATATCGAAACATACAATACCTATTTATTACTATTGCTTACAATGTGTTTGCGTGATGGCGTATGGTACAATGTTCAACATCAGTCAAAGCCAAAATTATTTCTTCCAACTAAACCATACATTGGTTTGGTGATGGCTTTCAAAAGAAACGTCAAAATAGAAGAATAGCCTGTCCATGAGATCGTCAGTGAAGCTTTTTTTTTTTTGTGAGGGGAAAATCATCAAATGACTTCTCCCGCCCAGGGCCGGGCAGGAGGGAGTGTCAGACTCTTACTGACTAAAAACCCCCCTGTTCCTTCTCCTGCTCTGTGCCGAGGTCGCGGTACCTCATTGCGCTTACCCCGCAACCCCGGCTGAACATCAGCCCTTTAGGGCCCCGTCTGTGGTGGTCGAATGGCTCTTTGAGGCGCGCGCGGAACGCTACGCGCCGTACGCTCGGGCCTGGTTCTGGTCGGGCGGCGAGCTGCCCTTACTCGCCGACCGCAGGCCCGTACTTACGGTGGCCGGAGATCGTCCCTCGATCCCCGACGCCCGTAGTGTCGCCAGTTGCGGCTGCTGGGGCGTGAGGAGGAGGATTGCTCCCTCACGCGGGCCGCCATCGTCAGTGAAGCTGTGGTGCTTATTCCAACCAGTTGCAATCGTACTACAGTTTACCTGACCCATCCGAAAGATTAAGGAAATCGTCATCAGTGGGCTGCATATTAGAGTGAGAAGAAACAAAGAAGCGACACAAATTGATTGCACCGCATGCCGCATGTCGATGGCAGCCGGTTCAAGGACACGACTAGAGGTAGTACAGGCACCTACTCTCAATCCACAAAAACCAGTCGAATGACAAATCAAACGCAAAAAATATGTAACAGGTTAACATGGCGACGCGACGCACAACGAATTGATCACACAAATTATGAAAATGTTTATAATTAAAAGTTTAAAACTGGTCGAATCGAAGCACTTAAATCCGCAATAAAATGTTTGCCATAAAATTAAATTATACGCGATGTCGTATCAATAAGTCAATTATACATAATTACTACTGGTTCCTCGGTGGCTTCTGCATGTCAAATGTGTTATACAACATAGAAGCAATGTTTTAATAACTGGATACTAATAATTAAGACGAGCTACCACGGTGTATGTGGACAGCGTGACAATGGCTCGGCCCGCGATGGCGCGACCTGCGACCTGCCGCACCTGCCATAGTGCCGACTCCCACACAGCGCCCCGCCCCCGGACCTGCGCGCGCGCATTGTATGGTACGAGTACGCGCTACCTTTGTTCCGTATAACACTTTTTGTTTTTGTATTGACAAATATGAATAAAAATAATGTTTATCGTTTCTCGGCTCCAAAAAGGCAAGGTTATTTATATACTAATACGCGCACAGTTAATCGCTGATTTACCGAAACTAATGGGGCCTGACAAACATAATCATTAGTATTATATTATATTATAAGTAACTAGCTGCTCTCGCTCGATTTCACCCGCTGCTCGGCTCCATTTAATCGTAGCGTGATGTTTTATAGCCTATAGCACTCCGGAACATTGTAGCTATCTATCAGTGAAAGAATTTTAGCAATCCGACCAGCGGTTTTAAAGATTACCCCCTACATACAAACTAAAATCTTACAAATTTTACCCCTTTATAATATGCTAGCTACTCTCGCGCGGTTTCACCCGCTGCTCGGCTCCATTTAATCGTAGCATGATATCTATCAGTGAAAGAATTTTGGAAATCCGACCAGCGGTTACAAAGATTACTCCCTACATACAAACTTACAAACATACAAACTTTCAAATTTTACCTCTTTATAATATTAGTATAGAAGTATAGATATGTAGTGTGATTGTTCGGTATTCAGAAAGAGTATTCAGAAATTGTTCAAAATTTTGAAGCAAACATGATAACGTCTCCTTGTATTGTACCTCTGTACAAACCAGCACTAGGGTAATTAGTCAGGTATATGTATGGTAGCACTAGTCCCCCGCGTCCGCAGGCTGCAGGCCGGCAGTGGTTGCAGGCCCGTGTTGCCTTATTCATGTCCCAGCAGGTACAGATGTAACTGTCGACGGTTTTTGTGCGCGCGCACGGCGTCGGGTCCGGCGCGGCTATACCGGGAACACATTTTCTCCGATTACAATAAAAAGCGGGACTAGAGGTCCTCTGCTGTGTAACACTTACACGGAGACGATATTCACGAGTTTTGCAAAATATAACAACAGTATCGCTGTTATAATATTAACATTCATTATTATTATTCATTGCGTTTTAATGGTAAAACCGTTAATGTTAATATGAGGTTTGATACCGACTTACCTACTACTACTTATATACCTACTATTAAACATAAATCGAATAATTATTAATTTTCTTAATAATTATTAAGGGTCTTTGAGGGTGTTAATTTGCCACGACCTCTGTAACTACACAGATTAGTGTGCCGGTTCCTGTAAGAGCTCGTTAAGTAAGTAAATAACTTGGAAGCTGACCTGTCCTGGTGCATGACGTCAGCGCGCACCCAGGGCGCTGCGCCCCACTCCTCGTCGTCGCGCTCCTCGGGCCGCGGCCGCAGCAGCCCCGACAGCCACGTGTACGACTTGCTGCGCTTCATGGCAAGCCGCCACTACCGCCACTTCCACACATCACACCACACCAACATTGCTTGTTGCTAAATCACTTTTTGACACTTTGCACTTTTGTATTCGACTTACATCGCGTTCTCACTGACACTTTAGTTCCAACTATAACTCTCGGTTCACGCCACTGTGCACTTTTGTTGGTATTTATTTGGCACGTTAGTGTATTGTAATGGCGACTGTAACTTTATTATATTGAAACTATAAGTTTATTACATTGAAACGTATGTAGTATTGGGAAGACATCGCTCAGCCCCTCCTTCTCTCTACAACAAAGTCCTTATTAGTTTGTTTCGACACTTGCGGCTAAAGCCTTAACTTCCATCAAAATGTCAATTAATTTTTGACTCATTAAAATTTCTCACTTCAACACACAATGATAAAATACACAAACACATCTGTACAAATATTCTAATTGGTACTTTATTGTTGTGTGGATAGAGTACACATCACTTTGTGTGTGAAGCTAGAGGTCATTTTGTCATCTCATCGGAGAAAATTGACGTCTTACGAGTGATGGTAAAAAAATTTGTGTAGAGGCGCGAGTGTCGGTCACAGCAACGGTTCTGCAGGTCGATCCCGAGTGACTACTTGTCTCGTTTTATGTTTACCCACTCCCAAACTTGATTTGAAATAAAATATGAACAAGTACTTGCATTGTTAATTATTATTTATGCTGAGTACTATATTCTAATCCAAACGGAAATCGTTAGAATGTTAGATAGTTGAAAAAGAAACAAGTCCCATTTGTAGACACGTAACCCCTAAAAGGCGATGTCAAGTCCAAAACGTACCCGTTAGTTGTAGAATACGGTGTTAATCAATCAGTGTAGCGTGTGGCGAGTGTCGGGGTACCGAGCACCGTGTAACGTCAACCAGTTCAATACTACATACGTCTCACTGACACTGCAGCTAACGCCGAGCTTTCCCATTCGGCCGGGTAGCGGCCAGCTGAGTACCTGGAACAGACGGAACGAGTTAGCGATACTTGTCGATGTAGTAACACAGGGCACTGCGCCTGAGGTATGTAGAGTAGGCACTGCGCGCACTCGAGCCTACCTCCATGTGCTCTCGGTTATAGCAAGTACATGTTGAACAAACAACGAGATACAGAGTAACACTTGCTCACAGGTGATACAGCTTGTCTTCTGCAGACAGCTTGCCACTCTCCGGGCAAGTGACGATCGAGAGGGAACCTCGCGATACTAGTTACATGCAGCAAAAATCATATGAAAGCTAATGATAAAGCACCGCTGCCTGCGTACGCGCACAGATCCAGTTTCCTTTATTAACATTTAAACAGTCACAACTACAGTTACACAGTTTGTGAAATACACACGGTACTTACGATGGACGCCCTGACCATAAAGCGAGAATAAGTTTTTTCATTTTAACGTCAAAAGTTCTACAGTTACAGAACTACATCTACAGTGTAACGTACTCAACGAACTTGTGAATGAATCATGGCGACACTTAGTGGATTTTCATTAAAACCGTATTCTGGAAATGAGCAAAGTTCTCTCAAGCGCTTAAGATAAAAAGTAACGAAAGTATTTTTGTAATAAAAGTCTATTTCCTCCTATAATGGGAAGTAATTCGACTTGGCATGAAGAAAGGTTCACTTTTGTATCGAAAAGAATTGGGGAAATGTCTGATTGTGGAGTATTAATCGGTGTATGTTCCGATCGATGAGAATGATTATGTCGTGAGATGTGGTCGTAACATTGTATGGAGTGTGGCGAATGTTACAATGTGACTGCGGACAGTGGGGCAACAACGTTAGGGACTATTAAGTTCGTCTTCACACGATATCTGGCCAATAAACCGTTTGGTCACGACTCTGTTGATAACTGAACATCGTCACATTGTCACTGACATACAGAAAACGTGTTAAGTTTGCTCTCTGTACAACAATGCTGCAGTTGCTACGGGCAATGCAAGTAATAATTGAAATAGGTGACTAATAAGTAACCTAAGTCTAATATAATATACTTCAATCCTCAAACTCTTTAACGGTTGACAACGCACTTGTAACTCCTTTATGTATGGACGCCCCTATTACCGCCAGGTGATCCGTCTACTTATTTGAGCCTATTCCATAAAAAACAAGGTCCTGAGTTGTCGCTCTAGGCAGTAGAGGGGACGCGAGCGCCGCGTCTCGCACCTGGGCGACAGTTTTCACACTACCTGCCAGTGTGTACTATGCACACAGTGACGTTGGTCGTAACCGGTGGTGCCTCAATTTGAGATGTCCAGTAGCCCTCATACGGAGCAGAATATATGTATGTGAAGCATGACAGAGAGCTCGACCTGAGCGAACTTCTGATTACTGAGAGACGAACAATGTTACGGACCACCTGTTCAAAACTAAAAGCTCATTATTTCAATAATGTCTTGCAACTTGTTGTTGTTATCATTTTGTTGGCCCAACATTACAGGGTGGAGGTTGCTCGTTTTATCTTTACACTTCAATTAGATTCAGATGTCAGATACGAATCTCGAGTGCAATAGTATGTACGGGAGTGTTGGCGCGGAATGCGTACACGCAGGGCGGAGGGCGGGGCAAGGCCACGAGAGGTCGCGTGTGTGTGATCTGCGCGGGCGTATGCAGTGTCAAGAACTTCCTCATGTTAGGACTTCATGATGAAACCTGGCTTCAGTAACATCGAGCGAGTGGTTTATCCACGCGTAAAAAAGAAATCGCACATTTTTTTCAGAAAATCGTCCAATGACTTGTCTCGCTGAGAGAGAGCAGCAGGCTCCTGCTGCAGGCCGAAGCCATTATTGCGCTTGCCCCGCAAAGAATGCGCACTGTGCGCGCCAACTGTTACACAATACTAAAACTGTGTGAAGTCAGTGCAGTACGTGGGAACGATGGAAAAACTTATCTATAAGCAGCTGCATTGTTATACGAGTATGGTAATCAGGGAAATAACACACTCGTTTAGTTCTTGTGTTATCTAACAAACTCGTAAAGTTATTGTCGTAGGTCAGAAATTGCTGCTTTTTTACTTCTTTAAAAAAACAACAATGATTTTATTTCAAAAACAGTCCATACCACAGAAGCTATACACCACCATTAAAAAAAACCCGCTTTATTTCTGTAAGCAGTGTCTATATACACGTATCTCGCGTCATGTATGTAAATAACTATTTATCTACATTTCTACGTAGTACATTGTTATCTTGCTAGTAAAACACCCTTACAGCTATATAAACACGGCTTTATAATATTTGGTTTTTAAATAAAATATTGTCTGAACTTAGTTCAAGAGAGTGAGGCTTTAGTTTACTTTAATGACAATGATTTATTTATTTCTTTATTTACACATTATTATGTACGAATATTGGTGGACTTGATGCCTGGTGGTATGCCCTGATGGTCAACCAGAAGGCGATGCAATATCACTAAAATGAGGAGTATATAATTTAATCCTTATTTTTTAACTGAATGATACATTCAACATGAACTGCTTAGCCAAGTACTGTAGGTACTTGTACTATCTCAAATATTTGCATGCGTTGCGTACTGTTGCCGTCAGGGCTCCCAGAAGGTACACGTGGCGCTCGCTATCTAACACTGCTGGCTCAATGCTACTAACAAACAGACTGTCTGTCCGTCTGTCACCGACTACTGACAAAGGTATGTCAACACAACAAGGGCACTCATTATGAGCATGTTTCATTAGCTATATGTATTGTGTACCTCTCATTAATTATAAAGCTTTATCACTTCAAATTGTACCACTACTTTGTTTTCTGTATAGTATTCACGTGGCAAATCCACCCACATAATTTGGATATAATTGAGAGAATTTTGTTAATAAATAGTATTTCGGAGTCTACCTCCGCAACAAGTTGATCATGATTTTGTGACAGCACATTAGACTAGCAGCAACTTAATCAATCAACGTACTTACGGCGGATAGTACATTCATTTATCACCCGCCATCGCTGATGAAGGCCATGCCGCGAGCCGTTCAAATCTAGCCGCTACATGCGCATGCGCACAACATGCATGCTGTATCACAATCTGATGCAGGACTCTGCGGTATGCACGTATACATCCGTTTCCCATCCATATGTGTCAAAACTTGGATCGAATCGCTAATAGATATTTAATTGAACATCCGGCCCTGCGCGATCCTGTAAGCAATCTGGTTGTACTCATTGCAAATACTACGCTCCTACTAAATAAACATTTGTCATATAGTTTAATTGTTTAAAAATTATACCAGGTAGACGATGTCTGCCTTCATTAAAGTTTTCTATACAATTAAAATAATACTTTTATGGAATAATCCACCGCCACCCATGGACACACCAGAGGAGTGCAAAGCCGGACATTCCGGTCTTTGACGGAAAAAGATTGGGCCTCCGATAATCATATATAAATATTTCGCAGTCAATAAATATAACTCGGTCAAACCAGACTATTCGTACTGCTACGAATCGTAATAAATAGTTTAATGGACAATCAACCACTATACAGAAAACCAAATCTATTAAGACCTAACACCTGGAACGATGAACCCCAGAAAAATGCTCATAATTATGTGAATTACAACAATAGGCAATGTTTCAGCTCTCTAAAACCAACATCAGGCAGATGGACAGACATTCAGAAATCACTGTTTGCACACAAACTTACACCGGATCGAATAATTGCGTAACAACGGCACTCGTCTTGCCCTGCCACTGTAAACATGACGATTGCGATTTAGGTCGCAGTGTCAGCAAGTAACATATGTAGAGCAAACTTTCTACAACTGCATACCTCCACTAAAATAAGCTCTAACTTAATACCTACGCAACTTGTTACAACCATAGCTCGTAGCACGAATTTCTTATCGCGTAGTTCGTAGCGCGTAGTTAGTAACGCGTAGTTCGTAGCATGTAGCAGCGTTAACCCGCTATTTAGAGGCGTGCCAAACCGGAGTGAACTGGCGAGCAACCGGTCGGAAGGAGTGCGGACAAAACACACACATTACATACGTGAATTAGACACGCTTATTTTCCTTATATGTCTTATTTCTTAATGTTCAGTGACGATATTATACATCATGATCATAACTAAATTTAAACAAGAATTATTCTAGGCTACTACGGAATTAGATGTACGTGTTATTTGCAAATAGATTAGGTATAATTACTCTATAATTAATACTAACATAAACAGTATATTCAGGAGGTGACGTGGCGCTGTGTGCTCTGACGTTATGTATTCGAGTTATGTTATTTGTTCCTGTGCCATCCGCTACTATTTACTACGCAGGTAGTTACATACACCCGCCATGCACTGCCCGAGCGCTGCCTGCAACCTGTACCTCTACTGCCACTAGTCCCGACTATTGTTTCTCTACTGGTATTTGAGGCAGCGTATGCGTCCACCTTTATTGTATGTCCTTTTGTGTCAATATGCATTTTATGGGGTCTTATATCGTTTTATGGGGGGAGGAGTCATCGAACGACTTATTAACACGTTATCAAAGTGCAGGTATAATAAGTAAATGTAACGTGTGACTACGTCTTCACTTCGACTTCAGTATTCTAAAATCTTGTTTTATACTTTTTCAGCGTCGGTTTTTGTCGTAGTTGGGTTTTAGTTTTTATACTTTTTATTATTTGTACTATTTTGGTGTTAAAGTGTATTTGTGGATCGCATAATATCAACAAAAGATAAGTTGGTGAACTAATATTAAGTAGTAGTAGCTATGAACGAAAATATGTGAATTATGTTATGTTTATGTTTAAAAAAACGTTGCCCCACATTAGGATTTCTCCTGTGTCGTGGGTGCGGTTACAAACATACAATTTTCTTCTTTACCTGAATTTCACATACACATGACACCCAGACCCGGAACAACAATTTGTGGATCATACAAAGAGTTGTTCCGTGCGGGAATTGAACCCGCGACACGTTGCACGGCAGCCAGTCGCCCGGCTACCGCACCAACCGTGCAGTCAAAATCAAATGCAATCAATGAATTATATGCAACCAGCCCATGAATACAAGCAAAGTCACAAACAAATGCTAGTCATATATATATTCAAAAATGTACGAGTAAAGCGCTTTAAAATGATACCAAACACGATATAATTATCATAACTTTTTTTTTACTCTGATTATTTTGTCGCTAGAAAACGCCACATTAGATTTTGTAATACATCATATAGCCTATAACCAGCTGACAATTAAGACGTTTCTAATGATATGTCATATGTCGAATTCAGATAACTAGTTTAGAAGTTAAGAGGGAACAGATGAACATACATATATATATACACACATACATACATACATACATATATATACATACATAGCCTGTCAAAATTATAACCCTCCTTTTGCTTTGCCGTAGTCGGGTAAAAAGTAAACGGACCTTTACGCAGATAGTTGAACCATTGCGCTGAAAATCGTGAAAACTTCCTTTTTGGGACCTTTGGCCTCGAGCCTAATCGATAGGCAACTTTTATATTTCATTAATGTAGGTGCTTCGAACAATCGGCCCCGCAGCCCCGGTGTATAACTGAGATAGTTATACACCGGGGCTGCGGGGCAAGCGCTATAAGGGACCGCGGCCTCCGCTTAGAGAAAGAGAAGAAGCGGGGTGTTAATTAGTCAGTAACCCCCTTATTACAAAACAAGGTTTATCTTTAGTCCAGGTTTAAACCATTGAGTCGAGTTTTGAATTTTGAATCTTATTGTCATCTACCTTCAGTTCGAAATACGAAAACTGGCTCAATGGTTTAGTCCTAGACTAAAGTAAAACCTTGTTTTGTAATAAGGCCGTAAGAGTCTAACATTCCTTCTCGCATCACCCTCGAGAGAGAAGTCGAATACCACTGGCCGATAAGTAAACATTTAGACATAAGAGTGACACAATTTATTTGTATACATGTATAAACGCCTCTTGCTTAAAATAAACCAGTGTTTGTCTATCATTGAACTTTCAATCATAAAATGAAACTACAACCTAATCTACCATGTACTAACTTTGAAAGTAAAATGAAAAAAAAATCTTTATTACAAATCCTTGCGTTTGCCAACATCTCGATACATTCTCAGATTAAACAACGAAGGGGCTTTGACAGTAGCAAGCAATGTACGCTAACGTATAGATAGGTACATGATGTATAGAAACTGATGATGTAGCAAACGCTTGCAGTGAGTGTGGCACGACACTTACACGAAGCAGCAGTACGACCGGCACTAGTGACGCCGGGCGCGCTGTGACATGTGGTGTCAGCAGAGAGGCAGGCAGCACGTACAACAACAGGCAGCACTACTTTACACCCGCACTGTGTGTTTGAACCTAGTGGTTATCAGCGTCGTGCGCCTACCCCACAATAAATATTTAATTAGCTCGCAGATATAGCGCGCCGCTCACTGCGGGGCCGGCGGCCGGCTCCTGCAGACTACTTCGCACTGCTCTGCCGGTGCCACTGCTGTACCCGTGACATTTCTATCGAGGCTATAAACTCGTTTTATTAATTTAGAACATACATATTCATTGTTTTAGATGCTGGCGAGTAGTCCTACTGGGCGCACGTTCGTCGCCGACCTCAGTGGATGCGGCACACTGAACGCCAGTCCCCGCCGGCAGCTGAGTGAGATACAGTGAGATACGTGCGAGTGTCAGCAGGCGGTTCCCGAGCCTGGCGGAACAGGTCACTGACCGTTGTGGCAACAGAGGGGGAGGAACATGGCAGAGCTGAACGCGGAGACCAAGCGCGTGCACCTGGACGAGGTGCTGGGGCAGTTGGGGGCTTTCGGGCGCCACCAGGCCGTCACCATGGCCATGCTGGCGCTCGTGTACGCCACCAACTCCATGTACAACGTCAACTACGTCTTCGCCGTCGAGGACGTCGGCTACAGGTACACACACATGCACGGCCACAGCTGATCGGTCACTTTCTGTCCTGTACCTAAACGTAATGCTAACATAAAGCTGCCGCGATAGTTGTTCACTCTCTGGAGGAGCCAGAGTAGCTCAAAACGCTTAGTGTTCACTTTATGATACATTATGATACATTATGTTATTTTGTTTTGTTTGGTGCACAATACTACAATTACAAAGACACGTGTAAAAGTACACCTGTATCGACTCCGGTGGCTTATTGAGCAACGCGTTTAAGCAAAGCCTTTTAAAATAATATCTAACAATAAATACAATTTAGCGCCATCCTCGCTTAATGTCAACATGAATACATTACCATAACGAGCTCGCGCCTGCGCATCGCTCACACGTCACACTCCTACATTACTGTACCCCCCCTCATAATGTTCATCATCAGTCATCACATGAGCATACAGCTTCACCCGGCGTCTGCCAACAGGCACTTCCTATCGCCCGATGGAGTATCCTACTTGGTTCTAAAACCTGTAGTTTTATAATTCGAGCAGGTATGTATTATTATTAGTGCCACACTCCTAAAATAGAAATAATTTTATTTATTACCCATTAAAGTTCAGGTGTGAAGCATAGTAATATACAAGCGGGTTGTCGTTTTATGTTCATTCAGTGACAGCAAACGTTTGTGTCGACTGTTACAAATGCTACAGCTCGTCAACGTGTCACAGATGCAGGATACCATCGTGCGACGGTCCCGACGCGCGGTTCAGCGTGCCCTGGCTGAACCAGTCGCAGGAGTGGTCGGACGAGCCACTGAAGCAGTGCCGGGCGCCCGTGGTCACTGGCTGCGCGCTCTCCAACCACACCGGGGATGAGCTCTGCACGCAGTGGGTCTATGAGAAGCCGGACAGCTTCACCGCAGAGGTAAGCTGCACTGCCGTATGGGGCAATTATTAATGTCGCCTGAATCTTTTCACCTTTTATTTGAAACATTTAATACTTGTACTCCTAATAAAAACTAGTATCGATCAGTCGAGCCAATGTTGCGTGTTTACAGGGAAACTGACAGAAACTGTACCCATATACCCATATATCTAGGCTGTAAATCTACTCAGAAACTATCACACTATGAGTTACACGGTATTCCTGTGGAAGCCTGGTCTTGCAAACAGTGTTTCAAAGTCAATGGTCCATTCATTCAACAATGGCAGTTCGAAAACTCAAACCTCAAATAGTATCAACTGAATTTAATAATTACAAATACATGCTTAAACATATATTCTTTACTTGTATTGCTGTATGGAACTTTCTCCTACACCTCGGCACTAAGATTAGATGTTCATTACTGGTTCACCGATATAAGCCGGCTTACGACCACGGTTATCATCTGATCATTAAACAGAAAACGGATGTACATTCATTACATTAAATTTAAATATAACAATAATTACTAAATGCTACCTATCAGTGCACACATACATCATGTGTGTTTTATATTCCCTCAAGGGATAGAAGTGAGCCTCCTCGAGGTGACTGTTTGAATGACATTACTTGCTTAATTAAATTATCTTGAACAGTAGGCAAACATGGACGCGATCCGAGATGACATTAATTTACAAAACAACTATGTACTAGCAATAGCTCCACAAACATTACAGATGCTCGTCAAATAGTTTAGTTAGATATACATATATAGTATAAATAGATAACACTGTCTGTGTATGCAACTACTGTATTTGATGAGAATATGTTCACACCTCGGGACACAGATGTACATACTGGTTTTGTGTCCTTATTATTGGAGGCTGTTAATGAAACATAACTAATTTTTGAGTTATTGACGTCCACGTCGACGTATGTATAGAAGTACCACTACGTATAAAAATACTACCTACTGCTAATTATAGTCTCAATTACTGTACAGGAACGCCACCAGTGAAGGACAATAAAAATCCAACAAGACTCGTAATTTCCTAAAATCTGATCTTGATGTAGCGTGTTAACAATAGTTTGTTAACATTTTTACCACCAGTGTAGGTACATCATTACAACAACCGACCGACGTGTTGCTGTGTTGCGGTGACCATGGTGTCTGCTGTAACATGTTACAGTGTGACGAGTGCATGGTGCGTGATATACATTATGTGTTCCAGTTCGGGCTGGCGTGCGACGACTGGAAGCAGACTCTGGTGGGCACCGTGCACAGCTTCGGCAACATGCTGGGCCTGCTCATACAAGGCCAGATCTCGGACAGGTTCGGCCGCAAGACGGCGGCGGTGTTCGCGGGCACGATGGGTGCGGCGCTGGGACTCACCAAGAGCTTCGCCACATCCTTCTGGTTCTACATCGTGCTGGAGGCACTCGAGGCGGCCGTTGGTGATGCGCTGTCTCCCATGTTTATGCTGAGTGAGTGCTCCTCCTAGTGTGGAACATTAAGTAATGTCTCTATTGCTGCCTTTCATAATTTTCAATGCAGTTAACTTGCTTTCGATCCACGCTTAGTCGTCAACAACACGATATAGTTATTTGTTCATTGTCTTCTCTTTGTATCCAGGTATAGAAATTGTGGAGAAAAAGCGAGCTGTTCTATTCCAAATGATTTTACTGAACTGTTACACATGCGGCCTCATCGTGATGCCGTTCATTGCATGGGCGGTGCCCTACTGGAGGAACTTCCTACGGGTCATCTACGCCCCGACACTTCTCATCCTCACTTACTCCATTTTCTTGGACGAAAGCATCCGCTGGCTGTACAGCAAAGGCAGGAAGGAGCGCGCCGTGCAGCTGATACAGAAGATAGCGAAGAGGAACGGCGTCAACATTGACGGCACCATGCTGGACAAGCTGGACTACGCGGATGAAGAGACCAAGACTGGCGTCAGCGACAGGAAGCTGCTCATGAAGACGTTCAAGTCCAGAATCATGATGCAAAGGTCAGCGCTCACGTAATTTTTCACGCAGCCATTAAGGAGTTTAATGTGTCTACAAAGCAATCAAAGCTTGTGACATGAAAAAAAGGGCTGACTATAATAATGTCACTTTTCTGTATAACTACATCGTTTGTGCCTCCAGGTTCCTGGTGTGCATGGTGTGGTGGTTCACCATCACGCTGATTAACTACGGCATGATGATCAGCGCAGTTCACATCGCCGGCAACAAGTACGTCAACTTCTCCCTGCTGATGCTGATGGACATCCCCGCCAATGTGTTCTACTGGCTAGCACTCTCCAAGTACAAGAGGAAGATACCACTCCTCGCATCCTTCATAGTTGGAGGAATATTTTGCATCTCGCAGCCTTTCGTGCCTAAAGGTAAGGGAAGCCAGCAAATGCAGCCCGATGTTGTAAAGTGATGAATGATCCCGTGCTTGTTCCAGGCTACGCGTGGCTGGGGCTGACCCTGTTCATGATGTTCGAGATGCTGGCCACGTTCTCGTACAACATCGTCTACATGTACACGTCCGAGCTGTTCCCCACCTACACCAGGAACTCCATGCACTCCATCTGCTCCGCCATCGGCCGCGTCGGCTCGCTGGTCGCGCCGCAGACCCCGCTGCTGGTGAGTGCCTCATACTACACCAGCTTCCTTTTAACACTCACTCAGCCGTATGTACAATTAATATCCCATATTTATTTAATCGACAAACAATGTAACCAGTTTTTTTTAACTGTAAATAAATTATCATTAAGCATTTTAAAAGTTCGAGAAGGACCCCTCGAAGCTCGAGAAGGAAAACTAGAAAATAATTACTGATCTTCTTAGGAAAGTTGGTGATAATCAATACAAATAAAATTATATTCTTGTCTGAAGCAATGCCACGTGGCTGTTACAGATGTCGTACTGGTATGGACTTCCAACATTCCTGTTCGGCGTGACGTCCGTAGTGGCAGGCTCGCTGACGCTGCTCATGCCGGAGACGGCTCGGTCTGAACTGCCCGACACCGTCGCAGAAGCTGAACGAATCGGACGCAAGCAGCTTGCACCAGAGCAACAAAGCCTCACGCAACGGAACAGGAGACGAAGTTAGGCCACCGAAGTGTTGGCAACTTTGTCAAGTCGTATATGCTGCGTGCTTCCCTCGGGCTCCAGTGGAAGCTCACTCTCACGCCTACCTCCTCTCATGTGATATGTCTTTACGTTAACGGTCGCTTCTATCTCGAGTTGGTAATAGTTACATAATTTCGTATTCGCAAGTTTATAATCTGTTGTTTAATTTTAAGTTGATATTCATTATTAAATTATTATTCTAAGTCAAACAGATGAATAATCTCTGAGTGCTGAGTTTATTTACAAAGACAACGATATCCTAAAACAGTATCCCGTTGTGTGTAATTGTTGACTGAGTGAGATCTCTCGTATGATGCAGAGCGCGGCATGTTTGAGGGCCGAGCGGTGTCGGTGTGTTGGCTCGGCAAACATCGGCCGCTTGTTGAGGACACATTAGCGGCCGCGTGGCCCACAGCCTGTGGCCACGCTACAATCAATGCGCCCAAAGATAACTTTGACGCTTGTTTTATTATTTTTGTCTTTCTTACTGAGTTAATCCTTAATAAGTGTTGATCCTACCTAGGAATAGAATCTGATACCACTGTACACAAGGTAGACTAACCGTAATTATATCTACAAAATAGAAATGACTACGGAACCAAATAGCTCGACTCGCACTTGGCTAGTTTTTACTGATCGACTCGGGCGCACCTGCGCGTGCGACGACCTTGCACTCGCGGGTCCCTGCACTTGACCTTACGCTAGGCGTCACACACGGCACACACCAGCCACTACCACCCCCACACTTTCAGTGTGTCGAAGAGTGAGCCACATTTTGATACGGCAAGGCCGGCTCGACTGGAGTAATGCCAAGGAATTGATGTGTGTTTACCGCATTAGGGACGTTGCTGAAGCCCCAGTCCCTAACCCCCTTCTGGGCTTCATTAATGGGTAGGTTGGAAAATCAAAAGAAGCTCAGTCGTACGATTATGTTGCACACTAACAGCTGGCCGCTGAGCCAATGGGTATAGGCTGAGAGTACAGCACGAGCAGCATCGTGACTACGTTTGGTAATCTAAACAAATGTCTTCCTGGACGTTACGTTCAATATATACATTACAGCCGAGCGTCGCTAATGGAGGGTGTTCAAGTGAAGCGAGCAAAATGACAGCGCGCTGGCCGGCACGCTGATAGTCTGTCTCATGGCCGGCACTTGCTGCTCTCAGCCATGACGAAGTCGTCAACTAAATGCGGCCTCGTTTGCAAACAACTGATCATTTTCCACAGCGTGGACCCTCACTTCGTCTGTCGTTACACTACATTATGAACAAGCGGGTTTTGTACTTGCTATGTGATTTGACTGTTTATGTACAAATGATGTAATTGCAGAGTGGATCTTTAAGCAATCAGAAAATCGTATTTAACGTTGGTTTAAGAGATGAACTTTAAAGTTCCCGGGAGTATGGTGCTTGTACTCGCGGTCGCGGTGCGCTCACTGTAAACATCTTTCTTGCAATAGTACTACTAGTGCATGTAGGTACTTATGTTGTCACATAAGTACCTACATGTCTTCTTCCAAAAACTATTTGGGTAGATTGCATCCAGTATTTGTGTGCGTCGCACTATCGTAGTGTAAGTCGTGAGCAATAATAAATACTATATTATGAGTGACTGCAGCAATGTTAGCGAAACCCGATTGATGTAAAGCTCTCTTAGACAGAACATTGTTGTTAGCTGCTAGAGAAAGTAGGTTGGAGTGGTTCTGAGCGGGCGCCGGGCGAGCGGTTACAGTGCACAGCAAATGGACCGGATTCCTGCACTACACGTATCCCTGCACCTAGCACTAATAAATAGTTACCGTTTACTCGCAACGACACAAATAATACTGCGGGCCGTCGAACTTGCACCCGGTCAACGCACCAAGATTTATCTCTTCATCCGCTGCACCAGGCTGGTGCTGGCTGCAGCCGGCGCTGGGGCGGGCAGCGCGCTGAGTGCGCACGCGCCGCCAGCCTGCACTAGCACGACACACGCACACACACAAGTCACCCTGCACTCGCGGACACGCGCGGCCGCCAAATTTCAGCGGTTGACATTCGAAGCGAGCAATGAGGCGTGGCGTGCGCGCGCACGTCGGTCGGCGGCGGGCGGCGAGCGCTTACTGCCGCCCGCGCGCCTCGCTGCCTGCGACCAGCTTTTTGCTTTAAAGCTCCACAGATAAAAGTAAAATGATTGCGCTCCCACGAGCCGGCGGACACACCGACTTACTCCACACACACACACACACACACGATCACAAGACATATACTTGCAAATCATTAACGAGACAATACTGGTTCATAGTTACTACCTAAATTATGTAGATACTAATTTTAAGATCATGTTAATTATGTAGGTAGAGTTTACCCAATGGTCGTAGGTCAACATTTAAATTTATGATTGAACTTGATTTGAATAATTTATCGTTCGAACGTTATTATATTAATCTGTAATTATATTACTCTAAAATTAAGTATTGTATGTACTGTGAAGTCTGAACAACATATAAAAGCTTACCTCATGTTATGATCACGGGACTCATTAGCACACTGACGAATATAACATCATCGTCCTGTCACACTCATAGTTTGCCTCGTCATCCAAATCATAGAAGGTCAGGGAGATTTATTAGGGACAGTTATATAATCAAATGACAGTGACATCTTATAGATAGAGTGATGGCGCACCTGGAGGTGCACCTGGCGTGCAGCACGGGCTCTCCTGAGTTACCTGTTACAGACATAGGTACATACTTAAGCCTCAAATTCGCAATGCGCAGTTACATACGAGAATCACAGAGGTACATACGAGACGTTATTTTTTTTTATTTGTTTTACCTAAATTGCCATCGCTTATTAACAATGATAGACACTTTCTCGGGTCATTTTTATAAAAGAGTAATAAACCGGCCAAATGTCAGACCAATTTATGATTCTCTGTCTACGATGTAATCACACATCAGGTACATAAAGAGTTCCGTAGCAGCAAGTACCTACTTGACATAATTTTACGACGTGCTGTTAAAAAAGCTTCTTACTAGATCTCGTCCAAACTTATAAGTTACCATTACAATGATGATCAAAGAACACACATTACCATGTAAATTGAAGTTTGCGTGGTAATGTGTGTTTGTATCATACATCTATGTATGTATGTACATTATATATATCGTTCTGGTATTCATTAAAAAAAAAATTTACTTAGTGTTCATTTTGCCACTTTGGAAGTATCTACCTATATCTCGCGCAAACTATTCAGTTAGACAAAAATGATGAATCCTCAATATCAGTTTTAAAGAGTGGCCCACGTAGTTGTGAAGTAGTAAAAAAATATTGAGCTTACATTTTTCTATTTTTGCGTAAAGTCTTAAAGTAAAATACATCAAATGACCAAGTTTCAATACTACAGTTTTTATAGTTTCGGAATACGGTAACGGTGACACATTGACTGACAGACAAACCGATTTGACGAATCTATTAGAATTTCTGCTATTTGGTTGCGGAACCCTAAAAGGAGAATAGGCCTAATTTTGCATTGTTGGAAACTTGTTAAGGACGTGAAGTCTGAATCTGAACAAGTAACGTGGACGAGGGTGCGACTGTAATAACAGCTGCGCGGGCGCAGGCTGGGTAATTACCGGCAGCGACCAGCAGGACCTGCCGCTGTTTGAACATCCACCACGAACACACTAAAATTACTTCACGAACCTACCTTTGGCTGTTGGCAATTGGTGAAGAATAGGTGTTATCTATCCATACATCTGCCACAATTTCCTAAAACCGACGAAATAATTAATTAACGTAACACAGCGCTTCGAAAAGTGGGATTATATACTTGCATTGTTTACCTACATATGTATAAAAGGTCTATGTATGTCTATGGTAGAGTAGCATAACATATCATTTAACCTTAATATAGCACAAAACAAATTGGAGAGCAACCACTTAGTTTGATTACAAAGCCCGCGTGCACAAAACATCGTAATTGCACGCTAGCAAATAATCAAACTCGTTCATATGCCGCCCTGTCAGTACGGATATTGCGTGAGTTACCTGCGTGGCCGGCAGAGGTCGCTGCAGGTTGCAACCTGACACCACCGCGCCCCGACAATCTGCCCAACAAGGCACTCGTAGTAGGCCGCAGCCCAGCTCACTCAGAAGGCGCACTCGTGCGATAACCATATCTTTTTACAATCACTGCCAGTTTTCTGCCAAAATTTACCTATTTGTTTACTTTTATGGCGTTTGGGTGATTCTTCACATCAATTAAAAAAAATTTAATAATGTCATTATCCTCAACCGAAAATTAACGAGTCTGCTGATTAAAACACAGATAATTATTTTATTAAATTAAATCTCACCACTGCTTACAAGCAACCGATTAAAAATATTGTATAAAATAAATTACTAAGATGCTTAAAAACCTGGGAGTATAATGACTTGTTAAATAAAAGTTAACGTTTTTTGGAGAATCACCCGTTTACCAATAGTCGTAACCTAAAATGCTAATAAAGTACAATAAACCAAGAAGAACATTTACCAAGTAGGTAACGTCCGACATGCGCATTGTATTTCATTATGTAAGTATATTTTCACACATACAAACATGTAAGAGAAATATGCAAGGCAAGAATACAATTATTTTTTATCAGAAAAATAACCCGAATTGGAACCAAAATCATTTTTACGAAGAATCCTTCATTGTAACTTGCTCATTGTCGAAACATTAATGGTTGCTGGGCTTCTGTCGGAGTACTCGCATAGTGTCTGGACCGCTATAAAGCTTTGCTCAGTCTGCGCCTGCGCCGACTCGGCTCGTATTACACTCGCACGCACAAAAAATGGAGCACGGCGCTGCTGCACCATTGAGGTACTGTACGAACACTCACGACGCGACAATTTTAGTCGCAAACCACCAGCCAGTTGATATATAGGTGGTAGTTACTATAACCACGATGTGATCACATGTATGTAAGTATACCTACGTATATACATAACGTGTTTTGTGTTCTGCGCGGCTATACCTAGAAGTAGGTGGGTGTAGGAAGGTAGCATGACACGGCGTGTGACCGATGTTGTCAGCTGTCACACACATACATAGGTAAGGTCCTTAATTACTTCCAGTAGTCGATAAGGACTTCCCTACTGGATTAGCAAATTTGTAAAAATGTTAAAAGCATTTGAAGAATTTAATTTTAACGTCAGGCGGTAGACAGAATGAATATGACTTACGTACTTGCACATAGCTCGTATCCTCCTAACGAGGAATGTGTGACTGATGCCTTCCTGCAAGCTGGGCCCGGGCCTACAGTTGACTAATGGCTGCGATGGCCGGATAACGCTGACAAATCACTTCGTCTCTGCTCTACCTACAGTACCTATATACAGTATTTGGGGGCTCCCACAGCTCCGACAACTCAGTGACCTGTCACAGCCTGCGCCTGCGCAATACGTAAGACACAATGCCGTGCTCATTCCACACGCGGCCGGACGCTATTGGAAGGCGCAACATGTCGTATGTAAATACTTAAATAGATACGTTATGTACATATCATCACTATTTACACTCAAATAGCTTAATTACTACTTGATTTTTAATTTATAAATTAAAAATCAAGTAGTAATTAATCTTGATATTTACATAATTATATAGATATTGTGACGGAAAAGTGGTTCAAACTCTTTGACATCATGACGTCAATGGATGGTTGTCAAACGTTGCCTAGAGATTGTAAATTTCGTCGTGAATTGTCAACACGAGTTGGTGTAATCGGTAAGGCGTGTGGATTACACCACAGAGACCCCGAGTTCGAGTCCCGCCGTAAACATGTAGTTTTTTAGTTGATAGAAGTTTTGTGGAACTTTCTGGAATTATTTGTGTGAAAGAAATGAAAAATTAAAGAGCGAGAAGGAGAATAAATAAAAATGAGTAACGAAATTATTGGAAGGTTCTGGAGTCATGACGATCAAAAAGAATAACGAAATTGAATGTTCCAGAACCTGAACCGGGGTATATAAGCGGAACTGCGGCTCACCGCTGGCAGTTGAGTTCTAAGTCTAAAGCGATTCGGAAGAAGTGAAAAAGAAGAAAAGTGAGTGAAATAGTGAAGTGCAGTGAAATAGTGAAGTGCAGTCAGTTAAGTGAGTTAAGTCAGCGTGAACGGCAAAGTTGTGTCAGTCGGCCGGACTCTGCTGGAGAGGAACGCCGATAACTTAACTCCGTGGACGCTGTAACTTAAGTGCAATAGAAAGTCTGAAATCTGGTATTAGTGTTTCATTTCATCCAATCCCGTAACCCAAGCCCGCATAGTCAGGAACGTGACGTCAGGCACGTAACATTTGGTGTCAGAAGTGGGATTGGAGAAAAATGCCGCTAGTGCCGCAGGACGTAAGAGGAGTGAGTACCCGTGCAATGGCAGAAGCGCAGCGTGTGAGGGAAGAGAGTGCTGCAGCTCAAACCAGCGATGCAGAAGCCAAGCCTGTGCAGGTGGATCTACTGCTACAGCTGCAGCAAATGATGGTAGAGCAAGCGCGCCGCCAAGAAGAACAGCTACGGGAGCTGAAAGAAGATCAAGCTCGTCGCCAAGAGGAGCAAGCTCGTCGCCAAGAGGAGCAAGCTCGTCGCCAAGAGGAGCAAGCTCGTCGCCAAGAGGAGCATGCACGCTGTCAGGCGGAGCAGCTACGGGAGCTGAAAGAGGATCAAGCTCGCCGCCAAGAGGAGCAAGCGCGTCGCTTGGAAGACATGCATAAGGATTTCACGAAGGGACTGCAAAAGGCTGTCGAACGGGTACAAGAAGTGGAGGAAGGGTTAGGCAAGTTGAAACATCGCGTCATGGCGATAGAGGAGAGAGTGGAAGAAGAGATCTCCAAAATCAAGCAGGAAGTGACAAGCCCAAGCCCTTTGAAGAGCCGAAGCCGTCTTGCAGCCGGTTTTGACGCCCCAATTGCAGCCTCAATCGCAACGAAAGGGCTCAAGATTCCCCATTACGACGGAACAACATCCTGGACCGCGTTCAAGCTACAGTTTGAGACACTTATGGAGGTTTATGGTTGGACTCAGAAGGAAGCACAGTCAGCCCTCATCCTGGCCCTCCGTGATCAAGCGCTCTCAGTGCTGGAAGCTATCGGTACAAGTGGGGATCTCAGTTTTAGTGCCCTCTTCGACGCACTTGAGGCACGTTTT